ATATCTATATGTATGTATATAATTAAAAAAAATAAAAAATAAAAATAAACACGGTAAGTTAGCTAAGTTTTCCCACTAAGTTTTCAAAGTAAATTATCTCATTTTTATTTTAGGCCATTGTGATAATCATTTGCGCGAACTCACAAAATCAGACACATTAACTACGAACACACACACACCACTACACACCCACACATAAGCATATACGAAAAATATATAACAAGCCCACACACCTTTCMCAAAAATTGAAAATTCCCCAGAAATAGCAAAATGCCGCAATCGCCTAGAAAATATGCAAAATACACCCACACACATACTTACAAGAAAGTCACATATACAMGAGTACATAAATGCAAAGCATCGTCAAGCCATTTAAGCGCTACAAAAGATGAAAGTGGAARGCACATAGATATATATTGTCACAAAGCGCAGTTTTCGGCGCTGTTGCGCAAAGCGGAGTTGCGATTGTCACCAACACCACTGCACACGCATCCACTGAGCTGCCTGCCGTAGCAGTAGCGCTGAGTAAAGCCAAGCTAAGCAAGACTATTTGCATTTGATTGATTGATTGATTGGCGCATTCGCTGACACACACCCACATACACCACTCCACTCATACATATGTACATGTAGTGGCAGTGATTGATGCTAGCGGATTGTGAATTGAATGCATTTTGTAAACATACAAAGGTAGATCGATGTCTTATTTCTCATTTATATTTATTTTTTTTGAATAACTTTCCAATTATTATTATTATTTTTTAACTAGTTTAATAACTTAACTTTCTCCATTAATATTTAATATTTTTGCTGTTGGCCTTTTATGTATTTAATACTAAATAATTTTGTTTACAATTAATTTTATAGTCTCAACTAACTTATAACTGTTAGTGAAACTTAATTAACGAACTTAATTGACTCAATTATAATAGAAACAGACACTAATCGCCGCTCAACCAACTTACATATGTGTGTATGTATGTTTTGATGTTGTTGAAGTTGCCGATGCAGCCATGATATTAAATAATATTATTGTTATTAAACGATTCTGTAAATATCGAAATTGAAAGTAAATAAATTTTCACATTTTTTATTAATTTAATAAATTAAGGTTTGTTTTAATTTGGCTAATTGTTAGAGTGTAGTTTTATATTATATATATATATACCTGTCTCTTATACACATCTGGAGGTTTCGAAACTAAAATTTTTCAGTTTGGAGGAAAAATAGCGTTTTTTTTTTAATATTTACGAACTTTTAAAATATTTTTTGTAGTATTTGCCCTTTCGGTTCCGAAACCTCTAATATATTTTGCATCATCCAACATT